CGAGCCAGTTTCCCTTAGAAAGTCCTCCACGAAGGCATCCCTCCTCATAGGCAGATAGCCCTAGTGTGCTTTGCCATAATTAAATAAACCAAACCAAACCTTTCTGAAAAGAAAAGGATAAATGTAATTTTTATGATTTATTTCTTGTGTAATGTAAACAAGACAAGCGTCCCGTAACAAATCCTTTGCGAAAACATCCCTTTGCACTGGCATAAACTCTTTGCTTGCTTTCCCTTAATCTTGTAATTTAAGTTCACATGTATATCGAAGATCATAAACATACATATTTGCTTACTAACGTTATGTGCATTTCGGTCTATATAAAATATTTCCTTTAAATAAACTCCTATTTATGCTGGTACCACAAACTACAATATATGTAAGATGATTCAGAAGACATGACAGAAAATATTAATATTTTTCTTATAGGTGCTTATCCCGTTGTATTATTTAAAAACTCATTATCCAAAATGCAGAAACATTTCGAATATAATATTATTCACTGTAATTTTCAAATATTATCACGATTTCCTTAGCCTGTGTCACTGAAATTATAAGGTGCAGTTGTTTTTCTGATTAAATAGTTACAATCATCTGCTGCGCAATTTTAATTAAGAGGTCATTACAATTGCATTGTAATTTTTATTAGATTGTATAATTACAGTTATACTATTTATTCAATTAGATTTCACAATTAAAATGCAATTATAATTAAAATGCATTTGAGTAAATTGTATATGTAATTAAAAATTGTTACATTGTAATTACAAGATAATTGCATAATATTATTCCAATTACTATGTGTTTTCAATTGCATTCTGCAATTACATTTGCAATTAAGATCATGATTTTCCTGGGCTACGTAACTGCTTTTATCAGAAACAATTGCTATCCTAATTACATTATTATAATTACTTACTGGAGTTACAATGACAGTGTAATTGTAATTAGATTATATGATTGCAGTTGCATTGAATATGAAATTGGATTTCACAAGTATAGAGTAATTGTAATTTAAATGAAATTACGTAAATTGTAATTGTAATTAAAAAAACAGCTACTTTTTAACTATAACTACTTAGTATAGTTAAAAAGTAGCTACTTTTAACTATAACTACTTGCATAATTTTATTACAATTGCATACTACACTTAGAATTACAATTATGATCATAATTTCACTATGTTAAGTAATTCTAATTATCAGAGACAATTACTTTCCTAATTACGTAGTTATAATTACCAACTGCATTTGCAGTTAAAATTACGTTGTAATTAGCTATATTACCGTAGTTGTGATTAGATGCAATAAAATTTTTTAATTGTAATTAGATTATATAATTATAATGTTTGTGATTATCATTGCATTGTAATTGTAAGACTTAAGAATTAAAATGCAATTACATACATTATTGTTGCATTTAAAAAGTACTTACTTTCTAATTGTAATTGCGAAGCTAATTACAATTGCAATATAACTGAAATCACATATTTCAAAATATTGTTGCAGTTTCTTGCAATTTTAATTTTAATTCCAATTACATTTTGCCAAACTGCATCTAAAATTTGGAGAATAATTAGGCTGGAAAATGAAAATTCTCTTTACATTTATATATAAACATTTACGTTTACTATAGCTGGTATAAGCACAGAACAGCTGGAACAGCTGGAAGTTTTGAACGAGCTATTTATTTCGAACTGTTATTCAAAAACCTAACGATAAAACCCATTTGCCCCTAGCGAATAGATAGTTTCCTCTCCTCAATTACCTCCCGCAGAGAAAAATTATCACCTGTCAGTTTACATTAAGAGCAGTGAGGGGAGGGCATTCTGAGACAAGCCGATTATATGCTGCTTTGCCGTTTCGTGCCAAAATTTAGGTTTACGTATATATGCTGCCTTGCCGCCATGAGGACCAAAATATTTAGACGCATATATGCTGCCTTGCCGCTATGAGAGCCATTATTTTCGAACGCATATATACGGCCTTGCCGCCTGGAGGGTTAAGAACAGATTTTTATTCAGAGAGCTATTGTCCAAATATTTTGAATAAATTTAGTATCTGTAAGTGCGGCACAACTACCAGAAGGCCTCACCGATGCGCCAGCAGCGAGAGCGAGGTGAAAGAGGAGTACGACAGATGGACAGAGACCTTCTTCTGCTATCCCACGCGAAGGTGGTGAGATGTCTACACGTGAAGGTGTGGAACAAGGAACTGTAGTTTTCCACGCGAAGGTGGTAAATTGACTGTATAATACATCAGCAAGTGCGAGTAGGCACTAATCGGTTATGTGATAAGACTGGCAAAAGCTATACAAAATCCTGTTTCGATCAAACGGCACTTGTGATTAATCTAATCTATACCTTCTTCTGATTTTCTTTATTAAATGTTCTGTGGTGTGGAAAACACCCTGGAATTATTATTTAGCATCTTCAACTTCCCTAATACATAAATAATGGGAAAATAAACTTGGATTGGGGGACAGACGAGATATTTATTAAGTGCTGGAATTCGGATACTTGACCAGTCCGAAATGAATTTTTTTCCGTACCTTCAAAATTTATGGAATCGGTCTGATTATCAATGGAAGTAAAATATTGCCAAAAATGCAAGAAATTTTCATCATCTACATTCAGAAACACATTTTACTAAATTGAAAAATTTTTGCTGATTAAAATTTCTGGTTATTAAACACTTATTTATGTTTATTAAGCAAAATTATATTAATAAGGAAAGCGAACTGAAAATTTTCGATGAATACGACACTTTATTAACAATAAAAGTAATACTTGTCATGTCAACTGCTGAATGAGTATCCATTGCAGCTGCAAATACTTGCACGCTCTAAATTAGCTAACACATAAGCAATTTCGTTGTTTTTCTAAATACCGGTGTCTATTATTTAACAATAAGAATTTGTATGTTTCTCATATTGTGGGAAAAAGGTGGCACTAAAGAGCCACCAAAATTTGAACACGCATAGTCCTCCACCAGAACATGGTGATCTCGAAGGCTGAATTTAGAATTTTCTTCTTCTTTTTTTTTTTTTTTTTTTTTCCTTCATATTTTGCACAAATTTAACGAAATTTGTTTAACAAGCTCAGCGATTTGAAAGCGAGGAGTGGCAACACTGTTCGAAGTAAAACATTTTACTTCCAGCCTGCCAGACTGTTGTCATTCGGCAAAACGTAAGATATTTACTTTTCAGTTTTAATCAACAAACTCGGCTGTTGAAAGCAATGTGTTGCGTCTGCCTGAAATAGAATATTTATTATCTCCACACACCAGTGTGTTGCTATTCTGTAAAGAGTAAGATATTTAATCTCTCTGTTCTATGAAACCTTGAAAAGCAATTAATGCAGTTTTTAAAAAGTATTCTTTCTACCTTTTTAATATGATTGATTTAAATAAAAATGCATTTAAATTTAAATCATGAGATGTCTAACTAGAAGTTTATAACATTTTAACGAAATGATACTAACTGGGCTCGTTAAAGTAATTATATATATATTTTTAGTTTTTTATGGTACCATTTTTAGATGGCTGTCTGTTCAGGCTGCTAGTTTTCAAAAACATTATGCGGCGGATATAAAAAAAAATATGGCATCCACTACCTAAAGGTATGCTGTTTTTAAATAATTTGTGATTTGCTCTGGAATCTGAATACTTTCAAAATTTTTTTCTTTATTTTCTTTATTTTTTTATTATTCTAATTTTTTAATAATTAAAACCCGGAATCGATGCTTAGATTATATACTGCTAAGACTATTTTGATATTCAGATTCCAACAGATTTTCAAAAACTTATTACAAATCATGATATAATAATATGTTTAAATTACAATAATATAAAATTATTTTCCTTTACATGGATTTTTCTTATTTCTTTTGACAAAATCCGGGTTTTTTTAAGAGAAAAAAGAGATAGAGAAAAAAGAAAGAAACAAAAATTTAAAAATTATATAAGTTTTCAGGATTTAACGGTCGCTCAAAAGGGTTTGTTAAAGTTTTTTACGCTCTCGCTGAGCTCAAAATCTACCAGTCTGCTATTACACTCACGCTAATATTAGCAATTTTTTTTTTTTTTTTTTTTTTTTTTTTTTTTTTTTTTGTCTTTTTAGCTTTATTATTAAGCACCATTTTCTTCGCACCTATGCCATATACATTTCAGCAGTAAAATTTCAAAACATTTAAAGGCAGCATAGTATAGTTTAGAATTCCCAATGCGGCATAAGTGCTGGCACATGCTTTTTCTTATTCCCTTCCCCCAGTCTTTTCTCGTCATATCAATATTCAGTTTCTTTACTGAGATGGCTCCACAAAACTCTTTTTGTCATTTTATTATTAACGTTTTGTATTTTAACTTTAATTATTAATTATAACGTTCTGGGTGCTTACGCCACATAAAATCCCATTCAACAGCAAAATCACAAAATATTTAAAACCAGCACATGTTTAGAATTTCCTATAGACAGTCTCGCGAGCTGGAGATAAACCTTTTTATTCTGTACTGTGTTGCCACTGCTCGCTATGAAATCGTTGGGATTTTTAAGCAAAAAATTCATTAAAGTTTTACAAAATATGAAACAGATAATAAAACTAATTCGAAATTCAAAATTCAGGTTTCAAAGTGTCAAGATTCAGGTGGAGGACAACGTTTTTCAAAATCTGACGACCTTAGGAATCGTTGTTTTTTCACAATCACAGAAACACTCATACATTCATGCAGATGACTTCATTATTTAATTTCTTGAAATATCACATAGGGCTACATTATTTGTGGCTACAATTTGAAAAACGATTCAAATGAACGTTTTTAGTGATTCGAAGCAAAATGCCGTTTCGAGACTAATATCCCTTGTGGGCTAATGCCTCTTTGAGCTAAAAACTATATTGAATAATTAGTACGGAGTTTAGATTTTTTAAAAACTGATGCGGTCTCGTTTCTTAAAACAAGGAGAAAAATAATGCATTTTTGGAATGATGAAAATAAGGTACAGACCTCATCAACTATTTTTTTAATTTCTTGCCCTTGTGGACTTCTTTCAAATTCATCACACAGTTCTCGAATTCTTGCTCCTTTCCGCCTTAAATCTTCTCTTCGGCTGCTTTCAGTGGGCCTAACAAATAGAAATAATCATATTAATTTATGTCTTTGAATAAATGATGTGACCATCCATAAAACTAAAGATAAAAATATTAATTTTTTGGCTCATGAAACAGTATATCAGAATGTGATATTTTTCATTAGCATTGTATAGAAACACATGCAGAAGAAGCATTGACTTCGCATTTAATAATTACAACCTTTGTACAATTTAGCAGTTAATTTATTTTCTGATATGAAATATACTTTTTCGCAAAATACCGGTTTTGCATTTTCAAAGGAATCTACCTTAACTGTATAAGTCTCCATTTATTCATAAAAATTTTAATTAACGATATTTCGGATAATTTTGATGATATGGCTAAATCATCCGTAATTCGTATATGATAAAATGCTTTATTTTTCAGTAGCTGTTGGCTTTGTTGGCTTAGTATTTATCGGAAAAGGCTCATCCCATACATCATTTAGCCGCTTTATTAACCAGTAAAGTAGCCCAAAGGTCACCTGCAAGAAAGAGAAAGATTCAACGGAAAACACACCGAACAACTGATTGAAGTATTTGCAATCTTTCTTTCCTTACCAGCAGTCTCTCGAGAGGACTTTCTATTCGACAGTGCCTAAAGCGCTTCCATGTCTAAAAGATAGTATGCACTTACGAGCATCCGTGCCTTCTACGAATGGCGTCTGGCTCCGCTGAGTACCATACGATCATTTACTTTCATTAAAACAGACAGTACTGTATTATGTTAATTGGCAAGAGTCCTCATGGCAAGAGAAACTGCTCTTTATAAATGATTTTAATGGCAAGAGAAAATACTCTTAATACATTTATTTACAGAAAACGCAGGTTCGTTACGAGCTACGGTCCGACAAACCGCTGACTTACAAGAGAATAAGGGCACACTGTTGCCAATCCGCTGAAGCTAAGTATTAGCATCAAAACGTGTGGCTCATCAGCATGGCAAAATCCTGAACTGAAGAAGAAAATACAAGTATACTTACAGATGCGGATATTTTTACAAAAATGATTCGGCCGAAATCCTTAATTTAGCTAAGGAGCAAAGATGTTTATTTTAATTAAAATTGCGATCGCTGCTAAATTTAAGAATTTTCCCTCATTTTTTTTCCTCACTAGATATTCGTTTTGAGGAAAGAAGAATTGTATAACTTTAATGTTCCAAAGTTTTCAGTTATAAAATGCATTTATTATTTTTCTTGTGCACATTTTTAATAGCTTTTCGGTGAGCTCGCGTACGAGTGATAAAAGTTCGAAAATTAAGCTGTTAGGGTAAAGAGATTAGAAATATGAGAGATATAAAACAAGAAAACTGCGGAGAAAGCTGTCTGTCATTCTTCACTGACTGCGAATATACTTATTCTCTGGTAGATGGTTGCAAAAGACAATATATATTGCACATGCCTATTTACCTTATGCTTTTTTTTGTAAATGCTTTCATATTTAAAAAAAGATTTTAGTGTCAAATCTCTACGTCGAATTTATCAAAAACATGACGATGCATTCGTTCTCCTCAAAAACATCTTTTGCATAATTTAGACTGTCGAAATTTATTGCCATAATAATATGTGAGCTGAGAAAGTATTTGGAGCCACATACAGAAATTTAAATGCACTGAAAGAAAGGTTCTTTATACTTTCTATAAAATGATATATATATATAGAGAGAGAGAGAGATTTCCCTTTACAACGTAACAGATTAGATTTTTTCCAGTTTTTCGTAAAGTATTTTTCTACCACATATTTGTTGTCAATTAACATTATATAGGCATTCAAGAAGAATCTAACTGATTTATGCCCAAGAAAGCTTATTTACGAAAAATACTGTGAACCCAATAAGTAATATTTTTCAAAGTATTTGGCGAAATTCAATAAATTTCTGGAAACATCCTACGGGAATGGCTTGCCAAACATCGGATAGAGCTGTTTATAATTTAGGAAGAGTCGCTAATGTGGTGTGATGAGGTTTCAAACCTTTCTCCAAAACGTCCGAGAGATGCTCAGTAGAATTTAAATCAGAGCTTTTAAGTAGCCACTTTATGACACAGAAGTCAGAAGAATGCTCATCCAACCAGGCAGCAGCCAACCGGGACCTGTGAGAGATGCAGTTATTTTGATGGGATACTCAATTTCCGTATGGATGACAGGACAACTCAATGGAGATGATCGCCCAGCAACTCTACGTACAGAATCATACTGAGGGAGGTCGGTACAAATATGAAAGATCCCAAGCACTGCGAAGAAAAAACATCCCAGACCATGGCCTTGTACAGTTCCAATCTGCCATACAGGATTCATAGCTTTGAGTCTGGCGTCATATTCTCAGCCTAATGAAGAGCAAACTGGCAGCCGTGACAGATTACATCTTCATTTTTATTTCAGTAAACATGTTGAGGCCACAAACAACTTGGGCCACTACTCGTGCCTGTTTCGAATACTATAATTTTAAATAATACTATAGTTTTAAAATTTTTCTTCAAATCTAAATGCACACTTATTTCCTTACGTGTCATTTTTTAATTATTTGTTTGTTTATCGGGAGGGACGTTAACTTCAGGGACCACCCAGAGAGACAAAAGCTCTAGCTACGTCACTAACGTGTCTGCAGTGAAATGATAGCAGAAAAATATTCTTAAAAGCTCGACCGCTGCGCGCTTAAATAAATATTCCTGGAACTTAAAACGCAACGCGCTATAAATTACGCCACTTGCCTGTACTATGATTCGTCAAAAGGCGGTAGAGGATACCGTTTTCTTTAATCAATATTGTTCGCACTGTAGTAGTTGAGATCTGGTGCTCGCATAACAGACGTCCAGGCTCGTTTCCACATTTCGCATGGGAAAATCACGAAATCGTCTATGATACGAACCCGTTCGCCGGGACTTTAGCCTCGGACGGAACTACAGTGGCTTTTACCTCTCGGCCGCTGGCTGGCCAACATAGTGGTTAATAGCCAGAATCAATAGTGCAGTACGAAATGAACTAAAAATATAAGTTTCCCTAATTTATTACTCAGAGAACAATGGACAAACCTCGCTGCATCATTTGCGCACCTGTAACTGCGCCTAATCGCCAGTTGCTACACAGGTTCACAGAGTATAGAGATTAAATTCTTGGCACAAAGCCGTACTAAAAGGCGAAGTACTAAACAAATGATCAGTACAAAATTATTTATCAGATAGATTCAGGTGTTAGTTGTTGTGACAGACATATTCTCTTCTGAAGATAGCTACATAGTATTAAACCAACCAAGTTTGTCGGTCTTTTGCTGTAAAATTGCCTTGCGATCTTACAACTCTCAATCGCTATTTTAAGTTCTAATTTTCGAAATGAATTACGAAGGTGCTTTTGCACAGATATCTGATCACTGATCGCGTTAGAGTCTGATCGCGTTAATGATCATCGCGAGATCAGATCACTGATCGCGTTAGAGATTTTCTGAGTAGACAAGGCGAGGATCCAAATCCCTACCTTTGTTCAATGAAATTTATGCTACACAGATTCGAGAGCCTAATTCTGTTTTGAAGTCATTGCAGAACTTAAATCTGCGCACTGTACGTTCGTCATCAAAATTAATGGAAGAAAGTTATTCCCTCACTTAAAGTTGATTACTCAATGGAAGCCTGCACAGGCGATAGAAAATTTCGCTTGAGTGAAGCAAAGAGAAAAAGCTCTTCAGCTAAGCAAATTTCTGCTGAAAACAATTTCAACTCCCCCCCCCAAACAAAAGAAGACGAAGGCTGGACTTCACTCAAAAATCAACTAAAATTGCCTGTTTAAAATCAACTTATTCACTTAAATACTAATAATGAGAAGAACATTGCGGATGACCTTCAGACACCGTCAGGCGTCGATGGCGTTTCGCAAATTGACTCTGTTAAACATCTATTTTATTTTAACATTCAAATCTCTGCTTTTAAAGATGGTTGAAAGCTTCACAGCGTCATAAATGGCAGCGATATGAACGTGGCCAGTGTGAATCTTTTAATAATCCGAATTACTTGAGATGTGTACGCGAACAGTTTACATAAGGAAATTGAAAGTCAAGAAAGAAGAAAAGATCATGTGTCTTCTCTGTCTTAAAACCCACCCAACTAATTTCTGAGATTGCAAAAGATACCAAAACTAAAAAAGAAATGTTATAAAGCTACGTGGAAAACCGGAAATCCGGTATTTTAAGGTTTCCAGACAGCATAACTCCTAAATTTACATCGGTATCGCAAGTAAGGCAAAGAGAGGCTTCTAAGACTGGAACCAAAAGGATTCTAATGGTACTTTCCAGCTGCATCATTTGATCTTTACTGTTCTTACCATTAAAAATATTTTATCACCCAGTTCCCTCTACAAAATAATTAAAACATCGTAGATTCCTTCCGAAAACTTCCAAAGCGAAATTGGGTTAAATACAAACAATTGTGAAGATTTCACAATTTATTTGATAGAATTTACATAAACATTGCTCAATACGGCGAAATAAGACGTAAATGTAAGCTTTCAAAGATTCAACGTCACAGAACGGCAGAAAATTATTGGTCCGTACTTGAAATTCTTTTCTCTGTTGCGATACTAATGTGCACTTAAGAATCATGCCTCCGGACACAAAATTTCTAATAATCTTATTTGGAATTTTATTCGGCAGTAGATCCAAATAGCAGGAAGAAGCTACAGATTTGCTTCGCCTTTTGCGAAACTCATACTGCGTAAATTTAAATATTTAGCTTTAATTCAAAAGTTCTAATACTAAGTAAGCATTTTATTATTATTTTTAGTAGTATATGGAGAATTCAAGAGATTCCAGAATCTTTTAAGATTTGGATTCAAGGAAAATTAAAATTTATCCCTGAAATCTGACTTGCATTTTTTAAAAGTTCATGCAATTTGTCGATATAAAGAATTCTTTTCGTTTAAATAGAAAAATAATTTAGTATGTAAAATTCATTTCATTTATGTTTGAGACTTACGTGTGCACTCGTTTTATTTCATCATCTTGTACTCCGGTCACATTCCTGAATAATTCTTCGCCGTCGTACGCAGTGGTTTTATCTGTTACCGTCAGAAACCTCAGAGCCATTTTCAGTGAATCATGAAGTCAAGCAAATTTTAATCCTGTTTTGAATTTTAGATGACCAATAGGCTTCACCTGAAGTATCGTTATAATCCGCTCAGCAGAAACCTGTAATGGAATTTAAACAAAAAAGGCACATTTCAAAATCAAAAGAGAGTAGAATAAATTACGCAACTTCTTAATCATCCGATCCATGAATTTCCCACCTTTCACCAGCTATCTCTCGAGAGGAATTTCTACTTTTTAAGTGCCCCCATGCCACAAAGGCATTATGCGTTATTATAATGTATACAAATTTTTCATTTTATATTTAATAAAATTATATTTAATAATAATCATGGAAATTTAATGCCATTATTAATTGGTTAATATTAGGTCAAACAGTATCAATTCCAGCATTAATTATCATTTATTTAATAAAATAAATCTTATGTAAATTATTAATTATATTTGTTTAAATAATATATTAATAAAATTAAACAACTTACATGTATTAAAACTCACAAAATTCTCATAAGTTTTATCTTCGTTGCAGCTCGTTCTGCATCAAAATCATAGAATTTAATGGCATTATTAATTAGTTAATATTATATTAAAGCATACTAATTTCAGTATTAATTATCATTTCTTTAATAAATAATTTTATATAAACTATTTAATTATATTATATTTAATAAAACAATTAATAAAATTAAAACAGTTTTATATGTATTAACTCACAAATTCTCATAGTTTTCGTTCTTCATTCCAGCTCGTCCTACTTCAAGAATCCTAGAAATATAGTGGCATATTAATTAGTTAATATTATTTCAAGCCTATCAATTCAGCATTGATCTTTCAGCAGTAAATTATCATTGATTTAATACAATAATTTTTATAAAATTATATTAATTACATTTATGTTATTAATAAAACATTTATTAAAATTGAACAGCTTTATATGCATTAAACTCACAAAATTCTCATAAGTTTTGCTCTTCATTCTAGCTCAATGCTACTTGTAGAATCACACAGATTTGCGTGGGATTATTAATTAGTTCACATTATTTTAAATAACGTTAATTTCAACATTAATTATCATGTATATAAGGAGACGCTACCATGTTGTAAAACTGCCAGGGGTGTCGAGCTATCGGTGGTTTTGGCGATAACCGCATAGTGCAGGTGATAAAAATTATAGCTTTGAACTTAAATATGAGATTTTGGTGTCTAGCCGTGTATACGAGCCAGTTTCCCTTAAAAAGTCCTCCACGAAGGCATCCCTTCCTTAAGGCAGATAGCCCTCGAGTGCTTTGCCGTAATCTAATAAACCAAACCAAACATGTGTCTTTAAAAACCTGACATGCTGCTATATGTTCGGGTTTGGAAAGCAAAAATAGGAGTAGGAAAATTTTCTTGGATACTGAAAAAAACCCACTGAAAGATATGTCGAAAGGTTGATCATTTCTCATTTGGTGCCTTGTGGGAGGTATTTGCACTATTTAAGCCTTGAATTCGCTTCAGACATTCAGCACGGATTCTGGTCAGCATATTGAAAATTCTCCTTGAAAAGTTTAGACCCACACATTCACTTGGTTGTCTGCTTGTCTACCAATGATGAAAAGGATTAACATCACTAGTAATATAATATAATGGTTTCTCACACAGGGATAGTAAAAATTCTTTTAAGAAACTTCAGAATATCAACGAAATGTCAAGCAGCGATAATAATGACATTAACAAAAACAGTAACAATAACAATAACAAAAAACAATCTGAAAAATTTCAGATTTTAAATTACATCCAAAGGGGCGTTTTGTGTATTACCTTTATTTTAAATATAGTCTTTTCTTTTGCACTTTAAAATCCTTCAACAGAATGTCGTAAAATAATTTTAAAGAGCATACCTTGAATACTGATACAAGTTCCACGCGTGGAGCTAATTTGTTTTCCCCCCAGGTTGTTTTGCTCGCTTTTAAATCGTTGAGTTGTTATAAAAATTCGTTTAAATTTTATAAATATGAATCGATCAAAAAAGTCCAATTTAATTTAGCTTTCAGATGCCCATAGCAGTAGGATTACGTCATCAACACTGGGATGGCTAGGCCGTTTTTTTCACAAGCGCGAAAATACATACATTTAGCAGATTCTCATATTAATTTCTTCAAATATACAGGGCGATAGTATTTGGAGGCAAAGATTTGAAAGTGATACGCCGTTATAGAGTCCGAGCAAATCGCAAAAAGAAAACAATAGTCCTTCAGGACAAGCCTCTGACTAATAATAAAAAATAATAACACCCGATAGGTAGAATAGTCAGTAATAGTAACGATAATAATAACAGTAATAAGAGTACACAAAAATGCAAAGAGTCCCTATGCATAGTATAAAAAATTACAGAAAATTCTTGTAATAAATATTATTTTTTATTATTCAAGTTTTAAAGCCGGGAATGGGTCAGTTTTGTAATCTAATAAAATTTTCAGGGTGTTATAAAACTTAGTTTTTTTAGTAATCGGTATTTAAAAAATATCTCGAAAGTGAGAGTTAATTCATTTTGGAAAAATAGTGGAAAATCTGTAACTTATATTAGAAATTTGCAAAATATTTTAAAATAGTGCCGTAACTTCACTTCCATTACGGCTCTGTCTAAAGATGTGTACAGTTGGGAGGGACAAATAGTTGAGATGGACATTTTCCGCTCGTGGACTGAAGTAAAAATATATATGTAAGTATTCATGAATACATGCATGAATACTTACATATATATATGTGTGTGTGTGTGTGTGTGTGTAAGATAAAAAATGTGAAAACAAACTTCTAATTTTAGTTGACTCTTTTACCTCTTTTATTTAATTTGGGAACTTCCTCTCGTTATCTTAAAAATACCGTTATAAGTCTAAACTGCGTCATTCAAATTAATCATGACCAATCAAGTAATTATAAACCAAAACTTTTCTAACTCAAACTGAAACTTTTGACTTCTTTCCTTCTTCCTCTGAATTACTGCGACACTTTTCGCTTCAATTTCTGTGCTGCGTGGATGCTTCGCTATGCTCGCTTCTATTGCCATAGTATAAAAAATGTAAATGTTCCGGAAACCTTCACGATTGGAGTCTCAAGTGACTTGTGCCCACAAATGCGAATTTAAATAAAAACGGAAATTAATCTGGCTCTACTTGTTACTCTTTAATATGGATCAAGCATCTACGTTAAACAATTTTTTTTCCTTTGAGAACATACAGACTCCCCGTGCACCACATATGTACAACTGGGGGCTTACAGAAGTAAGTTAACTAGAAATCAAAGGGTTACATAAAGACATTAAATTACATGCATAAATAAAGCGAACAAAAGCAGAGAACAGAGTCTGGGACTTCACGAAAACAGATAAGTTCACTGGCCAAGTCACTCCGAACATTTCAAATCGTTCTGTAAGCATAATCTAGGGCCATCAAATGTAGAGCACGAGAAAATCAATTTCTACATCCTGAGAACTCTTTTGACATTCACATAAATTGTTTGATCGTAGATTAAACGAAACAGGTAACTTGCAAATTTACGTGACCAGATAAAAACTGAGACACTTTAAAATTTAACGAGAGGAAAGACTCGGAATTCAGTCTATGGTAAATAGAAGGAAGGAACTTTTTGGTGACTTCAGCATTACAAGAAATGTATTCCTCATTCCACATAGCTAAAAGCTTTTATAATGAAAAGACTTCCAATAACTCTTTTGGAATGCTAATGTTGATATCAATGGGTAAATTTAAGGCATCTTTAGCTAAAGAATCAGCTCTTTCATTTCCGTAGAAACCATGAGCACGCACCTAAGCAAAGCAGGTATCAATACCTCTAATTCTAAGTGAACTAACAGTTACTAGGGTTCGATAACTAATTTATCGCAGCTGGTAATACTGTTCAAAGTTGAAGAGAAGAAAGAGAATCAGAACAAATAAGGTACTTTGAGGATGTTGTCCCATGATCCTGGATCCATTTGACGGCAAGATAAAGCACAGAAGTTCTGCTTGAAAAACTGTACATTCATTCCTATACGGGTCTAAGAAAACAAATCTCGGAATGGTCTTCAAAAGAACAAATGCAAGGCAACCTTGTTGTTCATCTTGCTGCCATCTGTAAAGAAAACCATATGAAAACTTATTTCAGCAGTCTCTTTATAATCGCAGAAATTTATAGGTTCTAAAGAAGCGGGATGAGAAGATCAGTGAAGGGGACAAGTCCATTAAGACAGTCTTCCGAAGCATGAGTTGCCAATGACTCAAAAATATTTCTTCTATGCAATTTCAAAATCAATAGGCGGAACTCCTGCAAGAACAAAGTAGCCTCATAACTTAAGGTTCTATAACCATTAATAATACGAAGAAGAATTCTCCGTTGAATCTTCTTAAATTTCTTTGTTAACCTTCTTGGCAAGAAATGCCCCCAAGCCACAGCCGTACGAAATGAAAGGTACAATACACTGCTTATACATGAGTTTCTTAACATCGTAGCTACTCCAAAGTATTTTTGGCAATTCGGTGAAAGCCATTAATAATTTTTCACATTAGCAGAAAGGAATTCAATGTGCTTTTTCCATGTTAATTTTTGGTCAAGAATGAATGACACAAGATATTTAACATTTTCTACAATTCCAACGGAGAATTATCGAGCATCAAAGAAGCAATATTTTGTTCATCAAACGTACTGGGAACAAGCATAGCTTACTTTTTGAAGGATTGAAAGTGAGTTTATGAGAAATCGCCCAACTGGAAACAAAATCTAGAACTTCTGTACTCTCAAAAGAATGTTTTTCAAAATTCCTTCTTTGAAAATATAGTAAGTCGTCTGCAACGCAATTTTTAAAACAACCGTCGAGATAACTTAAAAGATCATTTATGATATATTCCAAAGAGTAGGTCCGGATACAGAGCCTTGAGGACAGCCTTTTCTAGAGAGCAAACCTTAGCTTCGTTCCAAGCTGAAGCTCAGCAGTCCTCTCGTTCAAGAAGCTTTTAAGAAGGTTATAGATATATGTGGATACCAGAATCTTTTAAAATTTTAAGATAGATGGCCACCAAGCATTATCAAAAGCTCGTTTGAAATCCAGGAAAATAAGAAGTGTAGTATACTTCATTTTCTTTGCACACTGCAAGATATTACAAAGGCGAATACTGGCGTCTTCAGCGGACTTCCGAGGAGTAATCCGAATGAGAATCATTATAAAAGCATTTTGTCTCAAATACCAATTATTTCTGTTAATGAGAGAGTTTCAAGACATTTCCCAAAGTGGGCAAAAGATTAATGCACTGATATTATCAAGATAAGGGGTTCTTATATCTAAAGTTTTAGGAATCAAACAACCCGAGCTCTCTTACATTGTGCTGGAAAAACTGCTAATGTAAACAAAGGTTGAAAGGTTGTGTAGAAATGTGCTATCCACGCATGAAAGTGCTGTACAATTTCATTAGAAAGAGAGTCAAGCCCAGGTGATTTGTTTTCTTGAGATTTTAATAACACTGTTAATTCTGACTAGAGAACGGACAGTCCATAAAAGAAATATAAGGTCCATCAGACTCAGCGGCATAGTCTATGAGAATTTATATCATCACGCGCATTATCTCTTGGTGTCATTATAGCAACAATTGTATCACTCAAACTCGAAGTAACACTGCCATCCGGGAGTTAATTCCGAAATCTCAATCCTTTCGCAAAATTGGTCTTAACCCCATACTTATATATAGATTTCCAGACATTGTGAACAGTAATAGTTGAGAGAAAATTTCTCCACGACTCAAGCTTAGTATAGCTAATTTAGCCTTGTACTTATGCCGCAATTCGAAATATTTAATTTTATAAATATTTTTAAGAAGACGTTTCTTCTCTCTGGAATCTAGCCTAGCAGCATTACATGCTTTCTATATCAATCAATTTTCTTAGACCACCAAGGGACCCCATTCTTCTACTTTTTCATCGGAATTGAAAGTAAAGCACAATTAGAACAACGGTAGAAAGTCTGTTTACAAAACATTTCTATGCAATACAATATAGCTGTTAAGAAGGATATTCAAGTTACAAAATTCTCTCTTACAAAGTTCGTAAATAAAAACCAGTTCGCTCTTTTAATTAAAAGTACACAATTAGAGATAATCGGACGGCATAAACAAGTTCAAAGATAATCATTTTATGGTCAGAAAGAGAATCTTCCTCAGATATCCAACCTTGAACGTATGGCAGCAGCCTTAAGCTACAAGTGTAAGGTCAATATAACTCGAGCTTGCGTGGGAACAGAAAGTAGGTCCGCGATTTTCATTAAGTAGAACAAATGATTCGCACTAATAAAAATCACTAAGTTTCGTTCCTCTAGCATCGTATAGGACTATGCCAAATCGCTGATTGCTATTCGAATCCTACCATAAAAATGCATGGTTTTATCGTAAAATTTGTGAATTTTAATATTCTAGTCAATATAGTTTGGAGCTCAATAAGCAACAAAGCAATAATCCTTTTAAAAGATAAAATTAATTTTAAAAAAATGTTAAAAAAAATAATCTAATGGTTAATGTGGGAAGGCAAATTGTAACACATTTATTACTATTTACAAATATAGATTACATTAGGATTACAATTAATGAAAATGGTATACGAGCGATCGAGCGACGTCTGCTCCGCTCGCCAGCTAATCCTCGTCTTCTCCGAAGGCGGGAAACACATGCTGACGCAATGCATACGTCACACAGTAGGGGATTAGGGAATATCATGACATAACATTTCCCACATTCGGCCATCATGACCGGACAGGCGACCTCGCCTGAAGCAACATAA